CCTGCTTCGGATTCTGTGTCTCCCTCTCTCTCAGCCCCTCCCCGACTCACACCCTGTCTCTCTCAAAAATAAATAAACATTTAAAATTTTTAATAAGAAAATAAATAAAATAAATTCATTTAATCCAAAAAAGTGAATGCATTTAATGCATTTAAAGATGTTACATTAATAGGACAGGCAGATTGGGACAAAATCATGTGTAAGATATGTGAATGATTGAAGTCTGGGAAATATGGCTCCAGTCCAAGACTCTGATTTTGCTAGTGAGGGAACTGAGACCCAGGAAGAAGTCCCTGCCCCGAGTTTGTGCCCCATGAGAGGCAGAATTGGGGCTAGAGCTTTGGTCTTTCAACCTTCAGGCCTAGGCTCTCCTGTGGAAAGTTATCCTCAGTGCAAACTGAATTAGCCACAGTGCATAGAAAACCATCTTTGTTGAAAACAGATGTCTCCTCTTCCTGCCTCTCTGTCCAGTGGGAGGAAGTCCTCTATTTTTGCCAAGGAGATTCTTGCTGGGCTCCCAGAGTGACAGTTCAGACACCCATGTCCACTCTTCATGTTTGGACATGAGAAAAAGGGGAACATTGGGCTGGATCTTTAGTGACCCAAAGCCATTCCCTAAAATTAACAAAACCCCCAATTCCTGATCTCTTTCTGTTAAAGACACACCAAGCAGGTCAACTGCCCTTTGCCTGCCCATGTCCTCTCCCTCATGTCCCTGTTTAAAGAGAACTCTGTGATGAAACTAACCTGCGTCCTTCCCTGGCCTGTGGGATCCCGGTGCCCATTATGTAATTTTCATCCTTGGGCAGAGCTCAGAACAACTCCCACAAACCCAGCAAGTGATTTTCTTGTCCTAGAATTTATTCTGCTAAATTTCTTGAAATAAGCAGACTTTCAGCTGAGGCTGTATTTTTTATTTTTATTTTTTAAATATAATTTATTGTCAAATTGGTTTCCATATAACACCCAGTGATCATCCCAACAAGTGCCCTCCTCCACGCCCATCACCTGAGACTTTATTTATTTTTATTAATTTCAAAGTAAAAGGATTCAAAAAAGTAATACAGATACATGGTAAACATTTAAAACCATCCAAATGATACACAATGTGTTAACAACAAAATTCAGCTGAGTACATTTGAAGATCTAATTGGCT